GGGAGAGAAAACACATAATAAGCCATTTTCTGGTTGTTTCTCTTGCACCGCAGACTTTGGGTGTTTCCCTTAGACAGGGAATTAGTTATGTGAAAAGAAACATTTCAGAGCCATTCTAGAGCTACGAGGTCCCAGGAGCTCAGACATCTGCACCACTGACTCTGCCTGTCACTGCTAAGCACCTTTCCAGATCTTTCTGACTTGGAGGCATTCTCAGTGAGCATCTGGGAGTGCATTAGCGTGGGAGAAGCCCTTTTCCGCAGCTCTGTGGAACCTTCCTCATCACTTCTTCAGCCTAGCCTGGTATGGACCAATGTCAACACAGTTAATCACTATCCAGGAAAGAAAACACTCAAGCAAGCAAGTGTGAACACATTGGCTTTTAAAATTACAGGCAAGGAAACGGAAATCATTTTCTGATGGAGTTGGAAATCTTACATTAGAAGTTAAATTCTTGACTAAAAAGATTAAAACTGAACATCTACCTTAGATGAATCAAGTTTACATATTTACACTACGCTTGAATAGAAATTTAGGATAATAAAATTATTATTTTTTTAAACTTATTTTTATTTTATATGTATGGGTGTTTTGCCTGTGTACACAGAGGAGAAGAGATGGAATTGGAAACTCTGGATCTGGAGTTAGAGACAGTCATGAGTCACTGTGGGTGCTGGGAATCGAACTCAGCCTTCTGGAAGAGCAGCCAGTGTTTTTAGCCACATAACCATCTTTCCAGCCCCTTCTGATAAAATTACTCAATCGAGTACTTGTTAAATATTTTGGACTTTAAAACTCTAATTTCTCATGGTACATTTTACAATTACAATATAGAACTATATTAAATATGTACAAAATAATTATATAAACATGTTATATATGCCAAATAAATTACATCCGTAAACATATCTCCCTTGTGAAGTTCAGCACAGTTGCTACTCCTGACATTTTCTGTTAATGTTCACTAATTTCATACCCATTCATTTCCCCTACATTTTAAATCATAAATGATCCATAAAGTTTACTAATTTGTGGGGTTATGAATAACACTAGTAGCAAATAAAAATAAACACTTCTAGTTAGTTAAGTATTCTGCCTGGAGTCAAACAATTTAATTGGCTTTTTACAAAGAATATCAAGTAGATTTTAATGAATTTGTTTGTATGTTTCTTCAGTAACTGAGTACTTCACCTGCTTGGCAATTAGTCTCTGAAAAAATTAGAATGAATGAGAATTTTACTGGCCATTTGAAATTCATACATTATTGACAACCAGAGGACAATAGCATTTTTTTGAATCACGAATTTCCTCTCAGATTTACCTCATCTAATATTCTTTTCCATGATACTCTGGTTTCATCTCTAGAATGAGGAGAGAAGCTTCATTTTTTATCAGAAAATTATTTCAATTTTCTTGGCTCATTTGCATGCTCTCTCTCCTTCCTCTCTGAAGAAGGAACAGTGTACAGATCAGCCTGGCTTTCTACGTGTTTATACTGTGTGATATTAATCAATCACTTATGTTTTAAAATGCAAAGATTGGTTCAGGATTAGTGGCTCGCTTATCTCGATTACTGCGCCTTTCTTCCCATTACACAAACCCACACATCCCTGTTGTGGTCTAGCGCTTTTTTTCCCCCTAAAGCTTGCTATTTACTCTCTTTATGAAATTTACTACTGGAGAGACCTCTGAAAATATTTAGGTTATACATAGGAACCAGCTGGTGTGAGCTGTGTTATTTTCAAGGTATATAGTTCCCATATATCCAAGGTAGGAAGTTCACATTGGTCTGAGATTTGCAATTGGGTAGACGCCCTGTGTTTTATTGATCAGTGTGTTGAGTATGTATGGGTGGGGAGCTTTGAAATGTCTGTGAGCCCACTGCACCTCATAGATCTCTCCTGTTTTCCTCCTCTACATCTTCTCTGTCACTAGAGACCAAGTGTGATTTGTGCACGTGCCCAGTACTCTTCATTACACAGTGGTAATGAATGCCGCCTCCCCTGTCTTTCCACGTGCCTCCAAAGTGCTTCACAAATCCTCTCTCACTGAGCCCCACCCCACCCATAACAAATGTGTATGGCTCATGGAATGAGGAATAGGTGATTAAGTGCCTATTTCATGTCTTGCCGCACTGAAATTGCCCCCTTATTTCCTCGTCCTCCAGAGCCCGACAATGCCCGGCACGTGGTAGATATTGAGTATGTGATTTAAGACTGAAATGGATGAATAAAGAACACTTCTTATTGAAAGTGTAAAAGTTCAGGGAAATTTCATAATGGGGTGGTCCTGGCAGAAGTCTTAAATTGTTACCTTGTTTCCTCAGCTGTTTGGAATCTCACCCACCCATGACTTTGAACAGTTCTGTTTATGTTGTACGGTAGGAACTGAAGCCGTGTACCACCCAAGCCGGCATCTCCTCATGGGTAATTTGCATAGAAGCACAGGGCTTGTACTAAAACTTCCAATAAAACGTGATCGTGAGGCTTTCCAGTAAAAAAGCAGAAGAAGGCATAAGCAATTATGTATGGCATCTGTCTCATAGGTGGCTGAGTTTGGGGGGGGGAGGGCTCCTTATTTAGTTCTTCTCAAGAGCTCATCGTCCGCTCCAGGACAAGACAGGGGCAATCGTGTTCAGGTGTGTAGTTCACAGACAGGTTCATCTACGTTGTCGCATTTGTCAGCCTCTCGGAGGTTCTTGTGGCGTTAACGGTGACCCCGTTTGTGCACCTCGAGTGAAGGAGAATAGATATAATCTTTAAAGTAAAGATGCCTTATTTTTATTTTTTTAAGATTTATTTTTTAACCTTTTTTTCTAATTTATTCTTTATGTCTTTTACGTCACTCATCTTGATCCTGCCCTTTCATTTCCCTGCCCCTTCGTATTCACCTTCCGCCCTTGCAACCCCTCCCCAACACAAGAAAATTTAAGAGAAGAAAAAAGGAAAAAAAAATCTTGTCGTGGAGGCTGTAGTGGGACACGGTAGCCCCTGTGGTCCATATAGTGTTCATTGCAAAGAGCCATTGGTCTGGGTCGAGGCCTCTGGCTTCTGCTACACCATTGATGCTGGGCCCTCACTGGGACTCCACTTGGATATCCTATGGTTGACCTGTGTTGAGGAGAATCTGCCCCTTTGGGTCTATAGGCCCCGCCCCTTCATGTGCTCCCGTAGATGATAGACAAGGGTGGATGTTGGGGTGGCCCTACTGTATCCCTAACCCTAACCCTTTCCCATCCTCACCATCAGGGTGATCTCTCCAGCATCGCCCCGGCTAATTCACCCATTGCAGCAACGGGCAAGGGGTGGGGCCGGTTCCCAGCTTTCCCATCCTCAGGGTCGGTTCTCCCCATCTCCTGAATTCTGCATCAGAGCCTGAACCCAGATGCAGGCCCCAGCGGGAGCCCAGGCCCAGGCGGATGTGTTACTTATAATGAATGACGTGGCAACTGTTTCTGCTGTCTCGAGTTGTGTGGCATTGATTTCTGAAGACCTTCCTCCTTTGGCGACTTGCTAGCCTGGAATTCTATAGGTCTGGTTTAATTTTGGGTTGCGTGGATGATTCTTACATTTCAGCCTTGGTCCCCGGGGAGTGACTGCAGCTCCGGAGCTAAGGGCACACATCGCTGTTACGGGAGGAGGAGACAAACTGCCAGCTGATCTCATGCAGAACAGAATACAATAGGTGCCGTTGTTGTAGACAGAATACATTGTCCAGGTCTCTCCAGCTATTCAGCAGCACACGCAGGAGGTTGGAAGATTGAATTATACCTGGTTCTGAAATTACATGGTTCTGAAAGAGTCCTTTGCCAAATCAGAAGCAATGCTTGCTTTGACTCTCTTGTTTGCCTCTGGGGGAGGGGGGTAAGGCAGCTGTTTCTCTCTCATATTGTGCACTGGGAACCAAAGTCAAGGACACTCCAGCTGTTATCAGTGAGCGAGCGGCTTGTACTTCTTGGCTTTTAGGAACTGACAGCTCTTCTCTTAAGGACCGCGAGAGAAGCTTTAATGTGCCACAGTGGTTTTCAAGTGTCTTGGCATCAGATTCAACAGTGCCGAAGCTGTTGGTTTTATTCACACAGGATTAAGGCTAAACAATTCAAATTTCGATTCTGAACGCACACCTCGATGCCTTGCTTCTTTGAAACACGTGGTTGAGATGCCTCAGCGGATGAAGTCAGCTGGGCTACGTCTGCTAAGACAGGGCTTTACCCCCCACATTACAGAGTCCCATCACTTTCTCTGGGTGTTCTGAGAGGGAGGCCCATGTCCAGTGTCATGTCTTGGCATGGAACTACTACTACTATTATTACTATTATCATCATACTATTACTATTATTATTATCATCATCGTGCAGAATATTTCTACTCTCTCACATGGTTTCTCAGAAGCAGGGCTCTGCCCCTTTGCAGAGTGCCACCTGGGCTCCTGTCACACCATCTGAAGGACCATTGCGCTTCAACTCAAGGTGTTCAGCTCAAAACTTTAGGTTCTCGCTGCCACAAACTGCCTGCCTTTAGCAAGCCACTGCATTTGAGTCTTAGTAAATTTGCCTTCCAGAAAAGGGAGCTAGATTTGACAGCCATTAAGGCCCTTTCCTCTTGTAAAGGTTGATATCTATTTATTTTTTTATTGGTATATTTTTATTGAATATATTTAACCTATACTCTAGCCCCATCCAGCATTAGCATCAACGTTTCTGTGGCTCATTTTGTGACTCTGAATGTTGACTTTCTATCCTTTTACACTTACCAGATCTTTGGAAGAAACAGAGACAGAGCGTGAGAGAGAGAGAGAGAGAGAGAGAGAGAGAGAGAGAGAGAGAGAGAGAGAGAGTGTACCTGGTGTAGAGATGGAGGACAAGTGTTCCCTGCAATTGTCTCGGGGCTGTTTAATGTCTTCAGGTTCCGGGGTTCTGAGTCCGCGCATGCATGGTCTCAGCCTCTTAAGTAAGTGTAGCTCTCCCTTCTGACACAAACACCGGTTTCTTCCTCATTTAGCTGCCTTGCAGGCATTGAAAAAGAAGAAGAGGCTTGAGAAGCAACTCACTCAGATTGACGGCACCCTGTCTACCATCGAGTTTCAGCGAGAAGCGCTAGAGAACTCACACACCAACACTGAGGTCTTACGGAACATGGGTTTCGCAGCCAAGGCCATGAAGGCAGTTCATGAAAACATGTGAGTGACCCGGACTCCTTGTCCTTAACGTTGGGAGGAACCTGTGTGAACGTATATGACCATTTGGGGGGTAGGACTGTTCAACGAGGGTGAATGGAATGCCTTCTCAGAGGTAGTTTTGAGTTTACAGCAACAAAAATAAAATTAAAAAAAAAAAGGAAGGAACAAAAGAGGAAAGTATAGAATGTTCCTTTCAGCATTTCTCAGTTCCTTATGAAATCCCACCTGTAAGGAAGGACCGTAATTCTGTGATTCTAACAGTGCCAACATCAGTGAAGTATGCAACGTGGCTGCCAAACTTTGCATGTTTGTATGCGTATGAGAATCGTCTAGACAAAAGCCGTTCAAGAGCATGCAGATACCCAGCCTCCTGGAACTAAGCCAGAGATCAGACCTTTTGTTTTACCCACGTTCCCCAGGCCAAGACTGAGGCCACCTAATATCTGAAAACCACTGACATAAAGGACTAATTTCTGGGACCAGGGTTTATAGTTTTCTGGCTGTCCTCCCATTCCCAAAGTTGACTATACCCTGGCAAATGACTTTCTCTCTCTCCCTGACTCCGTTCCCTCGCCTGTAAAGTTCTTGCTTACTTCCTCTGCTTGTTGTGAAATTCAGAGATGCTAGATATAGAGATGCTGCACAGTTCCTGCAGCACTCATCAGTGAATACTCTGCGATATGGTAAGGGACATGGGTCTGTGTTCACGGTGGGGAATGCAGACATGGGACCTGGTCCTTTGCCTATAGGGATGTAAGAGTAGACTCCTGTCCACAGGTGCATAAAAACAGTAAGTGCTGAGGGATATAGACTCGGTCCCAGAGGATGGGAAGAGGCAAAGGTAGCTGCTGGGGTTATGAAGATCTCCTCAAGACCATCCTCTTGCCTTGGTAACTCATCACTAGCTGTCATTCTGACTCCTCAGAGGTCATTATGCTCACGATTGTATTCCCAGTCCCCTATAGTTGTGTTGAAATAGATTGCAAAGCCAGGCTCGGCTCCAGGCCCCTTAGTAGCATGAGACAATAGTGCTCTTTGGAGAGAAGTTTAGTCTCAGTGCCAAACTTTGGTCATACATGTCACGTACTCCTTTTAATAAATACATTTACTGCAACTCTAATAACAACTGAGCATAAAGGGCGGTAGAAACATGACAAAAGTCTTCTTTTTCATTACATATGAAAATATACTCAATATATTTGAATATATTAGTAGAGTCTGAGAAACTGAAAGAACAGATGAGTTCAGAGGGCTCGGCCTTCTTTTCTGTCTGGTCAGCTTGGCCCACTCACTGAACTCGTGGAAGGAGTCGAGTCAGAAAGTGTTACAAAAGCACGATAGAACCTGGTCCGTAGACCTCGGAGCCTGGACTCGCCAGCATTCTTTGCTGAGGTGGTGGTATCTTCCCTGAGGGCATGCTGGGTCAAATTCCGCTGTCTTTAGCGCCCAACCCTATTATCTACTAAGGAAAACCCCCTAGGAGTCAGCATTTCCGAGCTATTATGGAAAGTGATTCTCCAGTCCCAAAGTTTACTTTGGCTCCTGGGAGCTGCTTTGCTGTCATGGTGGTCCTCAGCTGACAAGGGACTGCACACAGAGGTACCTTGAATACTCTATCTAACACATGCACCGTCCACATTGATCTACAGACAGTGTGAATTACTCAGATAGTTTACTTCAAGTGAGTCTCAAAGGTAGAAGGTAATAGTGAAAAGAAAGGTGATTGTACGGGGTCCCTAAATTATTATTATTATTACTATTATTGTATTATTATTTTTTAATTGGTGAGCACTGGACCAGGGGTTTCGTTATGGTGCTGAAGTAACTGAAGAGCGTATCTGAAACGGACTTGCTTTCATGTGGTGTTAAGTCTAGATTCATAACTGTAAGGCGGAACTCTTAAAACCCCAACAACGTGTTCCCCAGGGATCTGAACAAAATCGATGACTTGATGCAAGACATCACAGAGCAGCAGGACATCGCCCAAGAGATCTCAGAAGCGTTCTCTCAGAGGGTTCAGTTCGCCGATGGCTTTGACGAGGTGGGTTACTAAAGAATGTGGTACCCTGGCTGCTATCCGGGGCAGCTTCCCATGGCAGGTAGCAGAGAGTTTGTGTGTACTGCCTAACAAATGAATGATGTTTATTGGAAGTGTAGTTTTCCAGGTGGGAAGTGAGGTGTTAGTAGCCGATTTCAAGAAAAGATGGCTGGCTGTAGTTTGGCAAACAGCTTCTTAATTGGGATTTTTAGCTATCAAGGGAAAGAAAGCACAGGCGGTTATGCAAAATTAGTGACTTTTTTTTTTTAATGGTTGGAGTATAAATAGCCCCATTATGAGGGGATCGTGTGCTCTCACATCTGGCCCAATAGAGACGGTGTCATCCTTGGGCAGCAGATGGATTGTGTGCTCTGTGGCTGTTAAATGAGGAGTTAGGCTGCCTCTGCTTATTACTCAGTCTATAAAACAAATGGTTGTGCAGTGGCCTTATTTACACTCCCATTCCATTCTTGTTCGTCTAAAGTTACACTGGCGGAGCCCTACAATGACAATTTCAGCGGTTCCTCTCAGGTTACACGTGCCTAGGATGAGGACATTCTTCGGCACATTCCCAACGGTGCAGGAGAGCACAGCTTCCTGTTTCTGTGTGACCGTCAGATGAGTGATAAGAGGGAGTCTTAGGAAATGACAGTTTGCTGCTAGCAATGTTACGAATGACCTGTGGCTGGCACTGCAGAGGTGGCTCCTGCAGAGGTTGAGAGCCCCTGTTGCCTTTGCAGGGGACCTGGGTTCTGTCCCCAGCATTCACAGGGTGGATCAAAATCGCCCACACTGCCAGTCCTGCGGGATCTGGGCCCTCTTCTGATCTCCGTGGGCACCAGACACACGTGTGGTACACGTACAGACACGCAGGCGAATCACTCACACACGTAATGGGTTGGCTGCATGCCAGATCACTCATAGTCTACTCTTGTGTCGCTATCGAGGCAAGGGTGGCTTCCGCTCTCTGGAACTGTATAACACAAGAGAGAAGGGCCTGCAACAGGACGGTGTGTGGCCTGCTAAGCCCCAAATACTACCACTGTCTGGCCCTGCGTAGAAGATCATGAGGGTTGTAGGTTCAAGGTCAACCTTGGGCCACATAGTGACTTGACTTCAAAGCCAGTCTGAGATGCATAGAGAGGCCTTGTCTCCAAACAAACAACGGCAACAAAACAGTCGAATTCAAGATACTCGTGCACGTGCATAAATTCACAATAGGCTCCCTGAATGTAGGGAGTTCTGATTTGCCCTTGAACTGCCCAGTGACGATATAGCAATACATTTGTTGGGTGATGGGTGAATAAGAATCGAACTGGATGGATGGACACACAGTTAGGCTAGATCTTTTCTCATGGCTCCCTACTGGGAGCCTACACTTCTCAGCTTCCCTGTGGATGGCCAGAGGGAACGCAGTGTACGGGTGGTAGTCATTTCTGACCCCGTGGAGGCCCACACCTCATTCTACAGGCATTCTACCCAACTACACACGTGGGTGACAAGATGCCCCTTTGCTTACGTCCCACCTAAGATCAGACCTAGCATTTCTGCCTTCTGTAATCGAACAGTTTCTCGTTATGACTGCCTCTCAAGTATAATGGAAAGGTTTTGGTTTTTTGTTTGTCTGTTTTTTGACGTCCACTCACTTCTGCAGGGGCTGATGTGTGCTAGAGAGTCCCAAGTTAGGTAGAGGTGAGTTATTTCAGATTAGGCAGGAGGTGACCAGTACCCTTAAGGCCTCAAGCTGACTGAACCTTCTACAGGTGTTGGGTAGAGAATAGCCTCATTAAGTCAGACTTCCTGAGGCCACTCTAAAGGAAAAATACATTACACTAATTTTCAGTTTTATTAACACAAACATATGGGCTGGGGACATAGTTCAGTGGTAGAGCATTTGCCTGGCACGAGCCAGGTAGTGCTGTATTCCACCCCCCAGCACTCTGAACAAAATCACCTAAACATACCACTTATGTTGACTTCAATGATTTGATAAAGGAACTATGTTTTTTGGGTATTTTTTTTTTTTTACTTTCTCTGTAATAGATTTTTCTATGCTTGTTTTATTTTCAGTAATATTAACTCAAGTAGAAATATTTATTTCTTCTAATTAAAATTGCAAAGATTCTCAACAGGAGAGAAAGAGAGAGAGAGAGAGAGAGAGAAAGAGAGAGAGAGAGAGAGAGAGAGAGGAGATACCAGAAAAATAACAGTCAAAGTGTAAATTTCCAGAACCCGAGATTATATATATACCACAAATTACTTGAATGGCTGTTTACTGAAGTATTATAAGATTAACTACAACAAAATTGTACAACCCCAAATGCTCATTTCTAATCATTGCTCAGTGTTGCAAAGAAAGAAAGAAAAGCTTAGTTTTAAAATAAGTATTCTGTTTCCTTGGGTTCCCACACATCAGTCGGGTAGCAGATGCTCTCCTGGTTCTGTTTAGGGAAATCCACCTCCTGATACATTAACTCTGTTAATTCTCTCTCTCTCTCCCATGTTCAGGATGAGCTTCTGGCAGAACTCGAGGAACTGGAGCAGGAGGAATTGAATAAGAAGATGACAAGCATGAAGCTTCCAGAAGTGCCATCATCTTCCCTCCCTGCACAGCCCAGTAGGAAGCCCGCCATGCCCTCCTCAGTACACCGATCTCGAGCAGGTCTGTTCCCAGCCCCGCGTCCTGCGCCCACATAGGTTCTGAAAGCCTGTGGCTTTCCGTACGTACCTACGTACACATGATTGGGATAAGTAAGACACATCTTATATGTAATCCCCACCCGTTTCCCATGCTTGAAGAGTAAGTGACACCGATGACTGATTTTTCTTTTTTTTTCTCTCACTTTTATGTTTACAGCGTCTTCCAGGAAGACAGAGGACGATGACGATTTCAAGCAGCTGGCAGCTTGGGCTACTTAAGCCCAAGCTTTTGGCATCTAGATTAGTGAGCTGCACATAAGATGTAAATGCTTTTGCAAAGCTTACAAGCTGGCAGAGACCTCTTTCATGAGTTGTCTCCTATGTGACAGTTAAGTCATGTGTGGACTCAGGGAAAAATGCAAAGGGGCTGGTAGCATCTTAGAAGACCTTTCTAGACTGACGTAGTCAGAACTATCTGCTCTGTTCACTGTTGTGTTTCTATTGATCCTTTGTATATATGTATTGAAAGAAACCCGATTCTACTGACATTTAGTGCCTATTTCAGCTTATGAGTCACCTCTGGGGGATACCTAGGGTAATTGGGGGAAATATCTATGCAAAATCAAAGGCCGCTGTGTGCATCCAAGTCACCCGTGATAAATGTAAACACACTTCTAGAATAGCTTTGGAGAGAAGTCTTCAGTAAGTGTATATATAGATAGTTCCAATTGAGTTTCAGGGTTGAAAATCTTCAGGGAGCTGTAATGGACGTTTATTATGCCGGTTGAGCTTTAAGCGAGGCAATGCGCACATCTCCCCAAGTTCTGGAAACACAAGCAGTTTAGCCTGCTGAGCAGGACTCTCCCGTGTGTGATTCAGCCACTTAGGAAGCTGAGTGCACACTGGCAGGCCATTACAATGCTGTTTTGTCTTCACAGGAATGTTCATCCTTTCCTGTTTTATGCTCTCTTGCATTCTAACCAGAGGGGGGGGGGGAACAAAACTAAACAAAAAAAAAAAAAAAAAAAAAAAAAAAAACTTCAAACGCTTCACAGCCCGCACTTTGTAAATATATTAAAACACCGGCAATTAAAAATGCATCTCGGGTAAAATTTTGCCCACAATTATCTTTAAATGAAAGTAAATGATAAAGTTAGGCATCTTGCATGCCATATCATAGACTGTGAAATGACAGCTGTCTCTATGCAAGATGTCCAGATGTCCTGGGGTTTCCGACACCCTTGAGCAAGGCTGTGCTGGGCTTGGAGTAGTAGGAGTCATGGGGTTTTTCTTGCCAACTCTGCACCGCCGTAGTGGTCTCCGAGCCCTTGTTAGTGTTTGGGAATCTCAGTGCTGGGCTGGATGGTCCCCAGTGGTCCCATTCTTCGGCAGGTGCTTGGTACTTACTCTGTGCCGGCATTTTTCCTGCCCCGCACAACACACATACCAAATTCTCCTCATTCTTTAGATTCCGTTCCAGCTAACATATTCTATCTTGGGAATTTTTTTTATAATTTCCGAGACTAAATTAGATCTTCTCACTGGGTACTTGCTTTTATGGCACCCTACTTTCTCTCACGGTGTTTCTCACGCTTTCTGTCGACACTTAACCAGCATGCTTGCCCCTGCTGGGCTGGGGTAGATGAGGGTTATAATAGTCTATGCCCGGGGCTCTTCAAAATCTCACATGCACCATCGGTAAGCCTGCCTGTATTTACTCAATGCACAGCAACGGACAGACTGGCAGGATTTGCCTTGTGCCCTTAAATAGTGACAAGATTGGACCAAGCCTACGAAGCAACAGTATTGGACTAAAGCAACAGCGTTAGACACTGAAGTAAAGACAGCACTGGACAGTGATGCCCAAGAGAAAGGAGGCTCATATGGTAAGCTCATCCCGTATCCTGGCGCACACACCACCCACATGCCTGGTGAGCGCTGCCTGCTCGAGAAGAGGGGGGAGAGGGGGACACAGAGTCCCCACCAGACCTGTGAAATGAGCTTGTAAAGCAAGTGAATTTTAATTGTGCTTAATTTTAGTTAATGTAATTAAAAACCCATTTCTCAATACATTTGTCAGAGGCACTGAAGTTTTTCCGCACCGTAGCTCTATCTGCCTTCTCAACTGTTAAATTTGTCAAGTCTATACGTGGGCCAGTGTTTTCTGTCTCTGTGCATCTTTCCACCTCTTTCCCTTGCCCTTTCTCTCAGAGGTTTTGGGTCAGAGCCCCACTGTGTAGCACATGAGTTTATTTATACCTCAGGCTGACCCTGAGTTTCACTCCTCTGGCTTGGTCTCCAAAGCCCTGGAATCATGGGCTCTAATCACTGTGGCTAGCACTGGGCAGAAACATTCATGGTGGAAATTTATGGCTGCTCAGAGGCGCACTCTAGGTGTAAAATACACATTGGAGTTCAAAGGCAGTGTGTAAAGCTAGAATACTTCATTTTTAATTGCATATTGATTGTACGTAGAGATACCATTTTAAATGCGATACGTTAAATAAAATACGTTATTGAAAGTTTAGCTTACCCGTTTCTTTCAGTTCTTTTGAACGTGTAGTTTGTGAGAAATGTAAAACTACGACTGTGGTCTTGTTACGTTTATGGGTGAGACCAGCTCCACTCTACCATAGAGCGTACAGCATACAGCTGATGTGCGAGCCGAGGCTCTAAAACACTAAAAGAAAAAAAGAAACTGCGCTGTGAAGAAACAAAACATACTTCGAAATGAATCCTAACGCCACCCCTGTTGACAATATGGAGTGAAACGAAGTTACTGATACAGGCAGGCTGCCTGAATTTGGAGGGCAGAGGTCTGGTTAGGCTTCGGTGGCAGAGTACCCTTGGCCTAACAAAACCATCTGAAGTTACACATTCTGGGACATTTCTTTAAAAATAAAAATAAAAGTGCCACCCCCTTTATCAGGGATCTCAGGGGTAGACCTCAGGCTCCTGTTTGGAACCCTTGGCTAGTGATAGGAATTAAAGGAGATTCTTAAAATGCGAAGGGAGAGAGCACCTGGACCTGGAGCCCAGGCAGCCGCTGCAGCTGAGAGACTTGTCATGGTGGACAACCCCAGGGAGCCCCACACTGCCATCATCTGGGCAGGTGTCCTCCCCAGGAGGCCCAGTCCAGTGTCAGGACATCAGACTGGCCAAACTTGGCTCCTGGGAGTACCCCTGGGTCAGCCATTTGGACTTCCCCAATGAGAAAGCAAGGGTGTGTGTGTGTGTGTGTGTGTGTGTGTGTGTGTGTGCGCGTGTGTGTGTGCGCGCGCGCGCATGTGCGCACGATAAAGTACTGTAATCAGGTGGCCTTACCTGCCAAAGACTGGGCTCTACCACTCACCTAAAACCTAAGCACGCTAACCTACCACCGTGGTTGTCCAGTCTGCGGTGGGGAAGGGTTCAGTCTTAATTGCAATATTTTCTTCCTTGGAAAACGAAGTCAGAGAGAGAGAGAGGGCGGGGGGGGGGGACTGGCTTAGTTAGTGGAAACTGAAGTAGCAAACAGTGTAGACTTTCACAGTGGCATCTGTCTCAGTAAACAAATTAGACAGTATGGTGAAGCCAGCAAGCCTAGCAAGAGTAAAGCAAACATACAAACAACAGAGATGCTAAAGACTAGTAAGAAACCATTACATCCCAGCCCCGGGAAATAAACCGGTGATTGCTGTCTCCTCTCTCCCCTTCCCCCGTCTCTTAATTTAAGGCAAACATTAAAGGTTCTGTTGGGGGGAAGTGCGTCTTAAAATAGCTGGAGTCCTCCCCCGCCAACTTAAGACTCGCTTCATACCATTTGTTTCTTGGCTTACTAGAAGTTTTGTCGCACTGCATACAGAACACTCGAGCTATTTTTCAGAAGAAGACGAGCCAGGAAACGTGAAGAGTGTGAAGCCAGGAAGGGCACTTGCTCGAACTCCGCGTGCACGGGAACCCTCCGATTACCGGTGCTGCTTCTGGTGCTGACACTGCCCAGGGTTGCAGATGCATCTTTTACGAGGAAGGATGTATATCTCCTTTTGCTAGCAGGAAATGTCATTTAGGCTTCCCTGTGGAATGCTGGCGTGTTATTATTAGTTACTGTTTTGATTTTATGGTTTCCACTACACAGCAAAGGGGGGTGGGTGGGTATCAGAAAGCAGAATTGTAAGTTGAGTTCTGTTCTCAGTCTGCTGATGAAATCGTATGGCTCCCTGTGCGTCTGGCCTGGGGGGGGGGTGGTGACTTATGTTTTGTACTGAGTATCCACACTGTATATACCACCTGCCCAATAGCCAATTAGTGGCCTTCGTGATTGTCAGGTTGTCACATTATTACAGAGCTTGTGACCAAGTAGCCTTTATGTTACTCAATAATATACTTAAAAGGTAAGAGTAGAGGCACATGTAATTTCGTTGTATTATAGTGTTGGAATCATTCAATTTAGTCCTTACTGTGTCTAATATATAACGTGTGTGTGTACGCGTGTGTGCGCACGCGTGTTTAAGCACATGTATACATGTATGTACAGGGTTTGGTCTGCTATGATTTCAGATATCCTCTAAAGATCATATCCCCTGCAGATACGTGTGCATGTAATGTATTAAACACAGATGACACATGTGTGTGAAGTGGGCATTTCTTTGAAACCCCCTCCCTGCCCTTAAGGCTTACCTCCTGTGTTCTCTTAGCCCTAAGTCCGGCTTTCCCTTTTCCTGACTCACCAACGAGACGCGACTGCATTCCTCATTATTTAGTCACTGCGATGCCACCCCACCCCTTTGTAGCTGCCACAGCTCTTGTTATGGCCACCTAGCACCATGCCTTTGTTTCAGAAGGTTGTTATGACCAACTTGTTATGGTTATGTTCTGCTTCTGTAACCACACCCCCTTGCTTATTTGCCTGCCAAATCCACCATTTGGAGCGACCCCCCCACTCCTGAGCTAAGAAAACCTTGTCTTCCCCACATCAATGATGATCTCTTGAACCCCACCCCAGGGGGAGACAGTCCGTGTACACAAATAAAGCTTGGGTTGATTTGGGCCCGGGGTCTTTCTCGAATTCATGGGATTAACATGTAAGAGAATGCAAGGTAGGTATGAGAAGGAAACTATATGGGTTTTAGGTAAGAAATAGTACAGAGGACACAATAGAATACGCATAGAAACAGAACAATTGAAACCCAAGCAGTGCAAAAGCTTTAAAATATGTGGTTATGCGCACACCTTTAGTCCCAGCACTCGGGAGGCAGAGGCAGGAAGGTCTCTGTGAGTTCGAGACCAGCCTGGTTTATAAGAGCTACTTCCTGGACAGTCACCAAAGCCACAAAGGGAGCCTGTCTCGAAAAACCAAAACCAAACAGATATGTGGTTATGCAAGAGCAAAGAACAAAAGGCAGAAAATAAAGGAGGTTCTTTCTGGGGTGGGCGCTGGGTCTGTCTCTGCCTTGAGAGGTATTCCGGAGCCAAATGCTAAAGGGAGAGCTGCTGGCATTTCCATCCAGTCCAAACCGGTTAGATCAGATTCCTCACGCGTGCAGTGTCTCAGAGAGCTTCAAACAAGTGGCCCTTTCCGTGTTGGGTTGGATTTCTGCCCAGAAGTCCTGGGGGTGGGGGTGTGTCGGCACCCTCTCAAAGTTTTCTAGCCCTCTACTGGAGTGTTGCTCCAAGGAAATTTCATCGGCTTTCCTCCTATGCGGACCGTCAGACCCCCACCCCGCCCCCCCACATGAATTTCAGCGTGTAGGTTCTCTGTGAGTCCAGCCCAGTCTTAGTATTTACTTATCGGGCTGGATATGCCGGTCTCTGCAGAGTCTGAGCTGTCTGCAGGCTCCTGCGAGGTGTTCACGTGTTTCTGTGGTTTTTAATTAGTCAGAAGGTCTGCTGCCTCCTTGCTCCAGACCAACTCTTAGGTGATGGAGACTGGCAGGCACTGGTGGTTCCCACCATCTGCTTCATGAAGCTTGCGGCTCCGCTTTCAAAGCAGTGTTTCTGCTGTATT